GAGAGAGAGATGACCTGCAGAGCAGCTGACTCCTGAGCTGCTCTGTGGCAGAAAACGACAGCAAATCCGATGTCATGGAGACAAAAATTAGGATTTCACCATTAAACCAGAACCAGCCACATAACTCCAGCCTGAAATCTAGTTGGTTGTTTAGTTTGTGCGTCTTTATCAGCTTCACGTTGTGTCGGTCTGACCCTCGAAGTCAGTTTTGAGATAAGACTCAAACCACCGAGGTCTTCCTGAGGAAGAAGCCTGGAAAAGGGTCATAGGCGGGTTCGAACGCTGTTAATCAACCACGGCTCATCTGCACCTCGTCCGACTCGTGACACGAAGCCAGACAGATGACACAATACAAGAGGTGTCGCGCACGTCAGCGTGCACGCAGGGAGTGCATCAGTGTGACAGATCTGGCATTCTGGGTCAGAAATGTTCAATTTAAGGCCAAAAAACAGGAAAACTTTGGCTGATTCAACAAAAACTGGCAAAAAAACCCAATGCTAACACAAAAGCTCTGTGTTAGCATAGCTCACTAACACTGACCCTTCAATTTAAGCACAAAAAGAACAAAAAAACCCCACAAAATTTCGTCTGATTCAACACAAACTGGCAAAAAATCCCAATGCTAACACAAAAGCTCTGCGTTAGCAAAGCTCACACTGACACTGACCCTCTTCTGTGACTTCCAGCAGCTTATTTGAGTGGTTACAGATCAACAGAAGGGGACAAAGAGGCAGATTTGGGTCACATTTCAGGTGAGACTCCCCTATTACAGACCACTTCTGCTGTTTACAGGGCGTCCGACCTGCTCACAAACAGCTCAACACTTCACCTGGAGGCGCACAATGCTCTGCAACGGGGCCACACACGCACACCGTTCGGCCTTTCAACACAAAGCAGCACTCTGCTGACGACCCACTTCTCTGCCCAGGCTTTGCCTCCATGTGCACCCCCTCAGCCTGCCAGCAGCCTGGGGCAGTTTCTGGCCCCCTGAAGGAGCTCCTGATGGGGGAAAACCTGGTGACGGCGTACCTCAGAGCCCTGGAGCTCAGCCGCACAGCCCCGGTCCGGTTCCAGGAGGCCGGGCCCCCCGGCCGGGTCCGGCTCGGTGAACAGGCTCTGCAGCAGGCCCGGCTCCAGATGGTCCCAGACCTGGTCCCTGGACTCCCAGACCTGGTCTCTGGACTCCCAGACCTGGTCTCTGGACCGGGCCGGGGGGGGAATCCGGGGCGGAGCGGTCGGACTCCCAGTCGCTGTCGCCCGTCATGGAGCCCAGGACAAACTCCACCCCGTCCGCCCCAGACTGGGTCCCCTCAGAGTACGAGTCCAGGTCCTGGTCCAGGTCCTGGTCCAGGGCGTCCTCGCAGGCCGAGCCCACGTCGGACGGGCCGGCCCGGCGCCGCTCGGGCGCCGCCATGTAAACAAAGCTGTCGGCGGATATGAAGGAGCCCTCCTCGTCCTCTGGGTCCTGACAGCGGCCCGCTTTGGGGACCGGGCTCGGGGGGACCGAGTCCCA